CCCCCCCCCCCCCAACCCATTGCTAGCACAGGCTCTCTCACGCTCTCTTAGTTCTCTCTGTCTGTGTCTCTCTAACCCTCTGTCTGCCTGTCTCTTTCTTTCTATCTCTCATGTTCAGTCTGTCTCTCTCTCTCTCTTTTTCTTTATCTGTCTGTGTCCATCTCTTTCTCTGTCTCTCACTTTCTGTCACTCCCTTACTTTGACTCACTTGCTCTATAGACAGGTTGATGTTTTTTCAATGTTATCTGGTAGACTAAGATGGCTGCTATTGCATTCCAGAGACACTGGTCTGCCACCTCTGGTTGAAATCCAACTTTAGGTTTTTTTTTTGTTTTGTGAAAATCTGCCTTCTGAAGAAGGGTCAGTGGACCTGAAATGTTACCTGTGCTTTCTCTGCACAGTTAGTGCCAGACCTGAGTTTTTCCAGCAATTTCTGTTTTTGTTTTAGATTTTCACAGTGACTTGTCAAGCACTTTGTTGACTACTGGACAAGTCACTATGTTTTGTGCATGTCTCTCGTAAGCCATAGACATCTTCAGAGTTTAGAATATCCTTTATTACCATGTGTACTCAAGTACGGGGTACAAGAGTGCAGTGAAAAGTTGAACAATGTCACTGATTGGCGCCATCTTAGGTACAAAATACCTACATATAAAGTCTTGGTTACAAAAATAGAAAAATAAGAAGAAAATAAGTTTAAAAAGTTCAGCACCACACCACAGTCATCTTAGCATAAAAGTAGAAAAATAAAGACATAAAGTTAAAAACATCCAGCATTACAGTCCTTTCTTAAGCCATGGGTGTGCATATACTCCAAGCTGGGCCTGCCTATAAGGGCTCGCAGTCCTCACGTGGGGCTAAGATCTGCCCAGGCACGTCTCACTTCGGCACTGATTGCCACTGTTGCCGTCCTTCGTCATTGCTGCCTCGTTGACAACTGACAACTGCCAGCTGCCGCCCGCCCTCGCGGCCAGCTGCCGCCCGCCCTCGTCAATGCTGCTGTCCAAGTCTGTGCTGGGCCCCAGCTGCTGCCATGCTCTCTCCCTGGCCTCCAAAAAGTAAGACACATTTACAGTCTGGTGACATAGCACTCTGTCATGTATTTACAATTTATTTTTGATTATGAGTATCCTTTTATTGTAACGTGCATTCAGTGTAAAATACAGTAAAAAGTGTGTACTGGGTTTCAGGAAATCCTTTCTGAAGAAGGGTCTAGGCCCGAAACGTCAGCCTTTCTGCTCCTCTGACGCTGCTTGGCCTGCTGTGTTCATCCAGGTCGACACCTTGTTATCTCAGATTCTCCAGCATCTGCAGTTCCTACTATCTCCAAAAGTGTGTACTGTTGCTTGTACATAAGTGCCATTCACAATGAAAAAGAAAAGATAACTTAAAGAGAGAGCAACTTTTCCTTCTGTGCTGTTACAGAGCTAGAGTCCCGCTCTGGGCTGCCCCAGCCCCCCCACCATGCCGCGGACAGGGTGTCCCGCTCTGGGCTGCCCCAGCCCACGCCATGCCATTGCAGCGAGAGTCCCATTCTAGGCTTTACAGGCCGACCGACCGACTCTGTAACCACGCTGCCTCTGTGAACACCACTGCTGCAGAAGAGCTGTCTTTACCAGGTAAGTTCGGAGGGAAAAGAAAGGGGTAGATGGAAAAAGAAAAACGCAGAGGAGGAGGACAAGCCTGGGCACAGGAGCCTGAACGCTGCCTACTCTGCCGCCATCTGGAGAAGCGGATGACCCTATTACAGTCAGAAATTCCAGTTTTGGTCAGATTGACTTGCTTTTCAAACAGCAGTTATTTTTCTACAAATTACTGGATCATGACTGCACAATCCTGACAATAGTACTAAATCTATTATTGAGTTACTTGGAAGCTGTTGCATGATGAATAAGATCAGTGTCTGGAAATCTCCCTGATATGTCATTGTTAGTGAATGTTTGCCAGATATCGCTGGCACTGTCAAAGTGAAGGAATTCTCTGCCTTTTGATTAACTGTTCTCCCCTCTTTAGGTAATTTGGTGGCTAAATCTGACCAGCCTCATTCTCTACTTGATTCTCTCGAGCATTACAGCCATCTGCTTGCAGCGAGGATATCGGCCAGGTCAGCGTGTCCAAGGTCAGGAAATCCAATTACTTGTCACTTTGTACTCCAGGCCCACTTTAGTGTTCACAGTTGTCCAACCTTATTTTTCAAATGACGTGTTCTGTCTGTATGTCAAAGGTAATTAGATGCTGTTCTTGGCTTATGGTGAAATCTGGCCCCTCTCCCCCAGGGTGGGGATGGTGGGGAGGCTGCTGACCTGCCAAGTTTCTCCAGCATTCTGTGTTTGTCAGAGAAATCCATTGGCAAGTTGGTTTGATGTATATTTTGAGAACTATATTAGAATGAATCATTAAGAGATTATTGCTGGGCGTATAGAAAATCTCCAAGTGATTAGGAAGAGTCAACATGGGAAATCGTGTTTTAGCAATGTTTTGGAGTTGTTTGAAGAGTGGATGTGCTGCAGATAAAGGGGATAGTGCCTGTAGACATACTGCACTTGGATTTCCAGAAGTGATCGAACAAGGTGCCACATCAAAGTTTGTTGCTCAAAGTTGGAGCTAATAGTACAAAAATCAGGAGCAAGAGTAGGCTGTTTGGTCCTTTTGAGTCTGCTGTACCTTTCAGTATGATCTTGTCTGATCCTCTAATTGCAATGCCATATGCTCACCTCCTTGCCATACCCTTTGGTGGCTTTAATATCTAAACATTTATCTATTCTTTCTTTCTATATATTCAGTGATTCGGCCTCCGTACCCTTCTGTGGTAGAGAATTTCACAGGTTCGCTACCCTATGAAAGAAGAAATTTTTCCTCCTCTGTATTATTGGTCTACCCTGCATTCTGAGACACTGTCCCCTGGTTCTAGACTCCCCAGTCAGGGAAAACATCCTCCTTGCATCTAATCTGTCCAACCTTCTTAGCCTCCTTGCTGCTTACTCATAGTTCTCGACAGCACCCGGTATTGTGTCATCAGCAAATTTGAAAATGTTGCATTTGGTTCCCTCATCCAGTTCCTTTATATATTCACATACTGTGAATAGGTGGGCCCCTAGCACTGATCCCTGTGGTAGCCCACTAGTAATTATTAACCCTCCGAGGCCTTCAGTTATCTGTTCTCTGACACCTACTGGTTTAATGTCATGGTTAAATGTTAGAGCCCTTCACAAAAAAAAGACCAATGCCCATATGTCTCTAGTTTGAAATCCAAACTCCAAAAGGAAAGGATCACCCACTCTCACTTTTCATCACAATCTTGAGTGAGTCCAGAAATAGAAGGTAGTTTTATAAATTGTAGGGGAGAATTTGTTTCTCAGAGGATTGTGAGATTTTGAAAAGTTTCTCCTTAAATGGAAATAGGAGTCACGGGGTTTCTGCCCTTCTGCCCAGCTTCTCTAATTAAACTAGTCCTATTTGACTGCAATTGGCCCATATCCCTGTAAATCATATCCTTTCCTATTCATATACTTGTCCAAATATCTTTCAAATGTCGTAACTGTACCTGCATCTACCACTTCCTCTGGCACTTCATTCCATACATGAACTACCCTCTGCATATCTGGCTGCAAAAAATATACTTTCTTCATCCAAGTCATTAATATTTATTGTAAATAGTTGTGGTCCCAGCACTGATCCTTTGGAACCTCACTAGGCACAGGTCACCAACTTCAACAAGAATCCCTTATCCCCACTTGTTACCTACAACAGAGATGGAAACGCCTAGTCAACGAATCACCTCATTCCATCCACTCAACCCAAGATTTCCTCGATACCCTCAAGAACATAAAAATCAGTGACGATGAGATTACGGTATTATTGACATCACAGCTTTATTCACATCAGTCGCCATCCCACTAGCCAAAGAAACAGTGGCCATTTTGCTAGAGGGAGCACCAACTTGGACCAGCAGCTCCATCAGCAATGACAATATACTCAAGCTCCTAGACCTGTGCCTTACTACGTACTTCATCTTTAATGGTCAAGTATACAAACAGATCAATGGCACACCAATGGGGTCATCCATCTCAGGACTCATTGCAGAAGCAGTCATGCAAAGAGTAGAACACACTACCCTCCCCCACATATGACCTAAGTTGTAGATCCGGTACGTGGATGACACATTTGTCATTATTAAGCACAAAAAACTAGAAGAGACCCACCATCTCATCAACAACATATTCGTGGGGATTAAATTCATGAGAAGAAGAAAACAACAATCAGCTTCTGTTTCTGGACGTCAGAGTTGAACATATGACCAACGGGGAGTTCCAAACCTCAATATACAGAAAAGCAACCCACACTGATCAAATCCTCAACTTCCACAGCAACCACCCCAATGCCCACAAACAAAGCTGCATTACGACACTATTTAAATGGTCCGGGACACACTGCAACACTCTGGAACTACGCAGGAAAGAGGAAGAGCACCTATACAAAATCCTCACTATAAACTGATAACCCCGCAACTTCATCCACAGATGCCAACTAAACAGACAACACAGGAGGACACAGTATGTCCTAATACACTGGCCACACGCCACACTGCCCTACATCAAGAACCTATCGGAACTGACAAAAAGACTCCTAAGGCCACGAGGAACCATGGTACCACACAAGCCCACAGCCTCTCTGCAACAAACATTCACAAGGATTAAAGACCCCATTCCCACAACATGCAGAACCAACGTAGTTTACAAAATTCCATGCAACGACTGCCACAAACATTACATCGGACAGACAGGAAGGAAACTAGCCATCACAATACACAAACATCAGCCAGCAGCAAAATGGCACAACAAACTCGGACAATGTAGGCCATCAGTTTAACTGGGACAACGTAACTACAGTCGCCCAAGCCAAACATAGACATGAACGGGAATTCCTAGAGGCATGGTCTCAGCCCATAATGCAATCAACAAATACGTAGAATTGGACCCCGTATACAGATCAAAACCAGAAATGACACTACTCACCATAACGGACTGGGCAGTATACATTCCAAGAATGACATTGCTTCATTGGAAGCCTCACTGATGATGTCACCTAGCATGGTAACGAAACGTCTGAACGAGAACAAGCCAGCTTGGCGAGCAAGTCAACAACCTCACCCACAACCCGAGCTACAGATCCCTGCTAAAACCTTTAAATTGTGCGTATACTTCAGAAAATCATTTAAGTATGAGACATAGTCACGAACAAACAGACAATCTCTCACTACTGGGGAAAGGGTGGAGTCTTTAGCCAGGAATGGAGTTTGAAATGAGTTCTGGAAGCAATTTATTTAATCTTCCCAAAATATAACTGCAGAAGATTTCTGCTCATCAGATCAGCTGTAACTTAGCAAATGTGGAGGAGTTGAGAGGGTGATGGCAAAGCAGAGTTGGGTATCAACATTCTTCCACACTGTAGACCCTATACAAATGTAAGTTGTTATTTGGAGTGATTAGAGGGCATACTGTGTTTGTTTGCAGAAGGCAAAACAGTGCAATAACATTGATTTTATTTTGTTTCAGAGCGTGCTGATGTTGTTCAGAATGGAGCCAGGCAGGTTCTGCTGGGCTGGTTGCTCCATTATTTACCATTCTACCTGATGGGCCGGATCCTGTATTATCATCATTACTTCCCCGCAATGCTTTTCAGCAGCATGTTAACAGGTATGTCATTTCTCTCTAACGTCCTACTCCTCTAATTGGGAGATTATCTGGACCTAAATATACTAAATACACTATTCACATATTAGATGTATTTCCCTGCACTTAAGTATCTAGTTTTAAGCCACAAAATGGTGTGAACCTTCCTGAATTCCTGATACCTTCCCAGCCCATCTGTTTCCAGCTGTCCATTTTTGCAGTACACCTCGATGGGACAGGTATCCTGGTGAGCAGATAAATCTTATGTTGATCCTTGGACTCCGTTGTGCTGTCACAGGTTATTGGATGGGAACAAAGGGATCAACGATAAAATTAATCAGCTCCTGGATTCACTTCAGTAAAGTTTTCTATCCAACCCACAAACACGGCTAAAACAATTGCTTAGAAATTATGTTCTATTCATTATTCCTACCCAATTTTGAGAAGGAGTTTTTTTTTTCTGATTCTATCTTTAGCAATCACATGGCATGTTCTGCTGCAAAGTTTTGACCTCCTCTTAAGCCAGGATGCAGCTCGGAGAGTTTACAAAGTTGGAATGATGTTCTTGGTTCTTGTCTGCGTGTACAGGTGAGTGAGAATGTTCCAATCAAAATTAAGCCTGATGCCACCTTGAATTTTGCTACTTTGGAGGCAATTCTGTTGCACTTCAAATACAGAAACAATATTTTTGTCATGACTGTTCTAGACAAAACAGAAGCAAAACATTTCTTTCAGGACATTGGTTTACTGATGTGCTTTGCTGAAGTAAATCTGCAGTCCTTACCTGGTTAAATTTGAGGAATCCTATCCATGTGCTGACTCTTGACTGTCCTCTAAAATGGCCTATCAAGCCTCTGCATTTGAGGGCAATGAGGAATGGGCAATAAATTCAGGTCCTGCCAGTAATATCCTAAATCCATGAAGGCATAAAGAAAAATGTTATCCCTACCATTCATTCATCTCTATCAGATCCCACTGTTGGTGGTGTTTGTGTGGAGAAAATCTTTTTTAAAATATTTTCTGGTATTTATTTTGTTCCTCTTACATTTTATACTTTAAAATCTTCCCTTTTTCACTTTTCCTCAATCTACAGCCACAAGCATGGAGCCACTGAGTTACTGAAACTATCCCATCAGATCCCCCGTGTTGGGCACACATAGGTTTACCATGCTGTTTGCTAGGATGGCAGGACTGACTTATGACGAGGGACTGGATCAGTTAGGATTATATTCACCAGAGTGTAGAACAATGGTGGGAATGTCTTTGAAATCTATAAAATTCTAGTGGGATTGGACAGAGTAAATACAGGTAGAATGTTTCTGATGACCAGAAAACCCAGAATCAGTGGGGAGGTCACAATCTAAGGATAACAGAGTAGGCCATTTAGGATTGCGATGGGGAGAAATTTCTTCACCCAGAGAGTGTGAAATTCTCTTACACAGATAAAGATTGAGGCCAAAAAAAGTTGAATGCTTTCAAGAAGAAGTTAGGTATAGTTCTTAGGGCTAAAGGAATCCAAAAATATGGGGAGAAGGTGGGCACAGGATACGGAGTTGGATGATCAGTCATGTGTATATTGAATGAAAAAGCAGGCTTAAAGGACTGAATGGCCTACTCCTGCTCTTATTTTCTGTGCTTCTGTCTGAGGTGGACCATGACAATAAAGTATCTGTCAACAATGTTGCAGTAGTGTGAGACAGCTGGGTGTTGGGGTAGTTGGATTTGATGAAAGTCTCCCAAGTCAAGAAGTGGAGACACCATTACAGAGAATGCTGTAGTTAGGAAATAGTCAGCCTTTGTTTTAATTATGGTTGGAGATCCGTTACAGTTTGATTCCTAATCTTGGGGGAACAGCATTGCAGAAAATTTGGAAAAAACATTTGGGGGATTGAGGGAGAGTTGCCAAAAATCAGGATAGCGCAGAGTAGAACATGAGAACTAGGAGCAGGAGTCGGCAATTCAGCCCCTCAAGCCTCCTCTACCATTGAATGAGATCCTGGCTGATCTCGTCTTTGTCTCAACTCCACTTTAAGGCCTACTTTCCATCACTCTTTTACCCATTACAAATTTAAAATCTGCCTTTCTCCTCCTCAAATTTACTTATGTCCCAGCATCCACTGCACTCTGGGGGAGTGAATTCTACAGTTGCACATTTTGACAGAAGTAATTTTCTCCTCATTTCTGTTTTAAATCTGCTACACTTACACTTAGACTAAGTAAATAGACAAAGCATTCAAAATTGTTAAGGGAAGGATGTGAAGGCATTGGAGAGAGAGTGAGTACAGGAAAGATTTGAGATTTGCTGCAGTTATGGGAAATAGCAGTAATGTGGAGAAATGAGAGCTGTCCTGTTTTGGCAAAGTGAAGATTTAAGAGGTACTAAAAGATAATGAAGGCTGGGAACAGAGTAAATGGGAAGAAATCGTTCCCACGGGCAAATGGGTCAAAAATCAGAGGACCTCAGTTTTTAGATGATTTTCAAAAGAAGCAGTGTTGATGTGAATGAGAGAGATGTAGCTCCCCGTTACATCCTGTTTGTGAGTAGTGAATCAGCTCTAATGCACAAAAATAGATTTTACCACAGAAACATTCCACAACTGGATGGAAAATCATTAGTTTCCTCAGTTCGGGAGTACAGAGAAAGAGTGTCAATAGCAGAGGCGGGTGGGTTGGGACCCAAAGAGCTAGTGAGAAGAGATGAGTCTGAGGCCGGTACAATCGATAAGGAGAGTAAGTTTAAATAGTCAAAGCAGGCAAAAACATGGCAGAGAATGAGGTAAGTCTGATAAATTAAACTGCATTTATTTCCGTGCAGGAGGCCTGACAGGTAAGGCAGATAAACTCAGCATGGTTGGGAACATGGGACTGGGGTGTCATCGCTGTTATAGAAACCTGGCTGAAGAGAGATGGACAGGACTGGCAGCTTAATGTTCCAGAGGTAGAATAGAAAGGAGGGCAAGAGAGGAAGGGTAGTGGCATTTTTTGTGAATGATCACCTTAAGGACGATATTGGTAAATGTGAGGTCATCCAGTTTGGTAGGAATAACAGCAAAATGGACTATTATTTAAATGGTGAAAAATTGTGGCAGGATCGGGGGTGTCCTTTTGCATGAACCACAAAGGGTTGGTTTGCAGGTGCAGCAGGTAATTAAGAGGGCAAATGGAATATTGTCCTTCATTGCTAGAGGGATTGGGTTTAAAAGCAGGGAGGTTATGTTGCAGCTGTATAGGGTGCTGGTGAGGCCACACCTGGAGTACAGTCCAATCCTGATGAAGGGTCAAGGCCCGAAACGTCGACTCCTGCTCCTCTGATGCTGCCTGACCTGCTGTGTTCCTCCAGCTCCACACTGTATCAACTCTGACTCCTGCATCTGCAGTTCTTGCTGTCTCTTGGAGCACTGCATGCAGTTTTGGTCTCCTTATTTGAGAAAGTATGTACTGGCGCTGGAGAGGGTGCAGAGGAGGTTAACTAGTTTGATTCCATACTTGAGAGGGTTGGCTCATGAGGAGAGGTAGAGTAGTCTGGGGCTATACTCAAAAATTCAGAAGAATGGGGATGGATCTTGTAGAAACATATAAAATTATGGGCGGAATAGATAAGATAGAAGTAAGGAGGTGGTTTCCACTGGCGGGTGAAACTAGAACCAGGGGCATAGCCTCAAAATAAGAGGGAGCAGATTTAGGACTGAGCTGAGGAGGGACTTGTTCACCCAAAGAATTGTGAAACTGTGGAATTCCCTCCCCAGTGAAGCAGTTGAGGCTACCTCATTGAATGTTTTAAACGCATAGATAGATTTTTGAATACTAAAGGAAATAAGGGTTATGGTGAGCAGGTGGATAAGTGGAGTCGAGTCCTCAAAAAGACCAGCCATGATCTTACTGAAAGGCGTAGCAGGCTGAAGAGGCCTGTTGACCTACTCCACCTCCTATTTCTTATGTTCTTATAACGTTACAGCTGTACCTAGGGAGGAAATTGCGGGAAATTGTGAAGCAAATTTGTAAGGAAATCTCAGTTATCTGTTAGAATCAAAAACAAAGTTGCTGGAAAAGCTCAGCAGGTCTGGCAGCATCTGTGAAGGAAAAAACAGAGTTAATGTTTCGGGTCCTGTGCCCCTATCTCAGAACAGATGCTGCCAGACCTGCTGAGCTTTTCCAGCAACTTTGTTTTTGTTCCTGATTTATAGCATCCGCAGTTCTTTTGGTTTTTATCTGTTACAATAATAGAGTAGTAATGGTAGGGAATTTTAACATTCCAACATAGATTGGGACTGTCATAGTGTTAAGGGCTTGGATGAAGAGGAATTTAAGTGTGTACAAGAAAACTTTCTTATTCAATATGTGGATGTATGTGCGAGAGAAGGACCAAAACTTGACCTCCACTTGAGAAATAAGGCAGGGCAGATGACTGAGGTGTCAGTGGGGGAGCACTTTGGGACAAGTGATCATAATTCTATTAGTTTCAAATAGTTATGGAAAAGGATAAAAACAAAGTTGCTGGAAAAGCTCAGCAGGTCTGGCAGCATCTGTGAAGGATAAAACAGAGTTAATGTTTTGTGTCCGGTGACCCTTCCTCAGAACACCAAGGATAAAACAACGAGGACAAATCTGATTTAAAAAGCTCTACGTTGGAGGAAGGCCAATTTTGACGTAATTAAGCAAGAATGTTCACAAGTTGATTGCAGGCGGATATTGACAGGTAAAGGGATGATTGGAAATCCTTCAAAAATGAGAAGAGTTCAGAGACAGTAAGGTCCTGTCAATGTGAAGGACAAGGCTGGTAGGTGTAGGGAATGTTGGATGACTAGAAAAGCTAAGGCTTTGGTCAAGAAAAAGGAGGCTTATGTCAGGAATCGACAGCAGGGATCAAGTGAATCCCTACAAGAGTATAAGGGCAGTAGCAGTATACTAAAGAGGGAAATCAGGAGGGCAAAAAGGGAACAAGAGATAGCTTTGGCAATGAGAGTTAAGGACAATCCAAAAAGATTCTACAGGTATATTAAAGGCAAAAGAGTAACTAGGGAGAGAATAGGGCCCCTTAAATATCAACGAGGCCCTCTGTGTAAAACCACAGGAAATGGGTGAGATACTAAATAAATATTTTGAATCAGTATTTACTGTGAAGAAGGACGTGGAAGTTAGGGAGCTTGGGGAAATAAATATTGATATTTTGAAAAGAGTTCATATTACAGAAGAGGAGGTGCTGGACGTCTTAAAACGCATAAAAGTAAATAAATCCCTGGGACCTGATCAGGTGTATCCCAGAACTTGGTGGGAAGCTGGGGGAGAGATTCCTGGGCTCCTGGCTGAGATATTAATATCATTGGTAGCCACAGGTGAGTGCTGGAAGACTGGAGGGTGGCTAATGTGGTGCCATTGTTTAAGAAAGGTGATAAGGAAAAGCCAGGAAACTATAGACTAGTGAGCTTGACATCAGTTGCACGTAAGTTGTGGTAGAGGATTTTGAGGGACAGGATTTACGCCCATTTGGAAAGACATGGACTGATAAGGAATAGTCAGCATGGCTTTGTGTGAGAAATCGTGTTTCACTAACTTGATAGAGTTTATTTTGAAGAAGTGACAAAGAAAATTCAAGGCAGAGCAGCAGATGTTGTCTATGTGGACTTCAGCAAAACGTTCAAGGTTCCACTGATTAGCAAGGTTAGATCACATGGGATCCAGCCAATTGGATACAAAATTGGCTTGAAGGTAGGAGACAGAGGGTGGTGGTAGATTGTTTTTGGGTTGTCCTCACTGGAACGACGGAGGTTGAGGGGCGACCTGATAGAGGTCTACAACATTATGAAGGGCATGGACAGAGTGGGCAGTCAGAAGCTTCTTCCTAGGGTGGAAGAGTCAGTTACCAGGGGCTATGGGTTTAAGGTGCGAGGGGCAAGGTTTAAAGGTGATATACGAGGCAAGTTTTTTACACAGAGAGTGGTGGGTGCCTGGAACTGACTGCCGGGGCAGGTAGTGGAAGCAGATACGATAGTGACTTTTAAAGGCAGTCTTGACAAATACATGAATAGGAAGGGAATAGAGGGATACGGTCCCCGGAAGGGTAGGTGGTTTTAGTTGTGACAGGTAGCATGTCGGTGCAGGCTTGGAGAGCCGAAGGGCCTGTTCCTGTACAGTAATTTTCTTTGTTCTTTGTTCTTTGTTCTTGTTTTTTTGGATGGAGGCCTATTACCAGCAATGTGCCACAAGGATCGGTGCTGGGTCCACTGCTTTTTGTCATTTTGTATACATGATTTGGATGTGAATATAGGAGATATAGTTAGTAAGTTTGCAGATGACACCAAAATAGGTGGTGTAGTGGACAGTGAAAAAGGTTACCTCAGAGGACAACAGGACCTTGATCAGAAGGGCCAGTGGGCTGAAGATTGGCAGATGGAGTTTAATTTAGATAAATGTAAGGTGCTGGATTTTGGAAAGGCAAACCAGGGCAGGACTTGTACTGTTCTGAGGAAGGGTCACCGGACCTGAAAAATTAACTCTGATTTTTTTCTTCTCAGATGCTGCCAGACCTGCTGAGCTTTTCCAACAACTTCTGTTTGTGTTCAAGACTTATACAGTTAATGATAGGATGTGGGGAGCGTTGCCCCAGGCATTAGTATCTCCCTTGTCTGATTATGAATTGCTGTAAACCTTTCAGAGGAGATAAAGATCCTAGACAGTGTGCAGAAGAGATTCACCAGAAATTTTCCAGGGATGAGGGAATTTAGCTACAAGATTGGATTGGACCCAGCTGGGTTTGTTTTCCATGAAGCAAGGGAAACTAAGAGGAGATGCGACAGAGGTGTCCAAGATTGTGGCAATCTGGGAGACAGATTTAAGGTTTTAGATAAGAGCTACAGGGGGTGGGATGGGGTAAGGAAGTGTGATAATAAACTAGAACTTGATGCTCATGAGGGTTTGTGGAAGGGAAGTGATTGCAAATGGACGTTGAGACAACAAGGTGCAGGGCTGGATGAACACAGCAGGCCAAGCAGCATCATAGGAGCAGAGAGGCTGACGTTTCGGGCCTAGACCCTTCATCAGAAAAAGCCCCTTCATCAGAAAAGGGGGAGGGGAAGGGGGTTTTGAAATAAATAGGGAGAGAGTGGGAGGCGGATAGAAGAGGGATAGAGGAGAGGATAGGTGGAGAGGAAACAAACAGGTCGAAGAGGCGGGGATGGAGCCAGGAAAGGTGAGTGTAGGTAGGGAGTTAGGAAGGGGATAGGTCAGTCCAGGGAGGACGGACAGGTCAAGGGGGCGGGATGAGGTTGGTCGGTAGGAGATGGAGGTGCAGCTTGAGGTGGGAGGAGGGGATAGTTGGGAGGAAGAACCGGTTAGGGAGGCAGGGACGAGCTGGACTGGTTTTGGGATGCAGTGGGGGGAGGGGAGATTTTGAAACTTTCAAATGGACGTTGGATGGGTTCTCAAGGGAGATAAACTTGCAGGGTGACAAGGAACAGGGAATGACATGACTGGATAGCACTGCAGAGACTGACATGGACTGAGTGGGCCAAATGGCCAACCTCTCTGTTGTTATAGCTGTGACATATTGGCTCGATAACTGCCTTCTGTCTCTGCCTGTTAATTACTCATTCTTCCTTTCCAAACTACATGTCTCCTTGCACCTGCCAAACATCATCCTGTGTCTCATTTTAACCAGTGCAGAGTTTGTAAACCCAGCAACAAGTTATTCTCCTTGTGGTTGGAAGTACATAGGAAATTTTTTTTATATTTCAGTTTCTACTTGTTCCACCCCCTCTCCTATGGGATGATCGGCCCACTTGCACAGGATCCTCACAGTCCAATGGCAGGATTGAAATGGCTGGAATCCTGGGAGTTCTAACTGTTACCAGAGATCAGAAATGGAAAATGGCAGCTATTGTTTGTCACTGGCATAAGATTGGATCAAAGATTTCAATCAACAGAGGACAAGACTCCTGCCTTTGCCTTAAGCTTTTAATAAGCTCTTTTGTAGCCTTCAAAATAAGTGATGCACTTACTGTTGTCAACTTGGAACTGATGTGTGTAGTATTCAATTAATAAAGCAGATGCTTTATTCAGAAGATTTTACCTTTAACCTGGAACTACCCAGAAGGTGCTGCAGCCTTGATGTAGATATTGAACGTTTGCATGGAGCTCAAGACTAAATACATGTGGCAAATTTTGACTTGGAGAGTACTGTCACCACCTAAGGTACGAGGTTTATTCTGTTTAATAACTGCTGTTTTTGAACTTTGTAATTCCCTTAAACATACTGCCGTCCACAAAATTAACTGTTTGTAGGGAACTTCAGAACCAACTCCAAACTGCCTACTGTGGAACTGTGCAGACAAACTTCCAATTGATGGGAGCATGAGTAATTCAGCCAAAAAAAAAGAACTGTAGATGCTGGAAATCAGAAATAAAAACAGAAATTGCTGGAAATACTCAGCAGGTCTGGCAGCACCTCCAGAGAGAAAGCAGAGTCAATGTTTTGAGCCCAGTTCTGAAGAAGTGTGACTGGATATAGAATATATAATAAAAATAACTTGAATTTTTTAAATTCACTTGTGGGATGTGGCGTTGCTGGCTGGGCCCAGCATTTATTGATGTCCCAAGTTCCCCTTGAGAAGGTGGTGGTGTTGAACCACTGCAGTGTGCTGTTGGTAGATCCACAATGCCCTTGGGGATGGAGTTCTAGGATGTTAATCCAGCAACACTGAAGTTACAGTCATCTGTTTCCAAGTCAAAATGATGTCTGGCTTGGTAGGGAACTTTCAGGGGATCATGTTCCTATGTATCTGCCAGCCCCATCCTTTCAGATGTTAGATGTGGGTTTGGAAGATGCTGTCTAAGGATCATTGGTGACTTTCTGCACAAACAAATTCATACTGACTGTAACTACACCATAAAACCATAGGCACTCAAAAGTATGAACTGCTGACAACTTTTAGAGCACCAGATACACAGCTAAGAATGAGGCTGCAGCTAATGAAAAGTATTTGGAAGGAGTGTCATCGAGTCATACAGAGGGAAACAGACCCTTCGATCCAACTCATCCATGCCAACCATAATCCCAAACTAAACTGGCCCCATTTGCCTGCGTTTGGCCCATATCCCTCTAAACATTTTCCTATTCACACACCTGTCCAAAATGTCTTTTAAATTGTGTAACTGTTCCAGCCTCCACCACTTCCTCTGGCAGCTCATTCCATACACACACCACCCTCTGCATGAAGAAGTTGCCCCTTAGGTTCCTTTTAAATCTTTCCCCTCTCACATTAAATCTGTGCCGTCTAGTTTTAGAGTCATCAACCCTGGGAAAAAGACCTTGGCTATTCACGCTATCCATGCCCCTCATGATTTTATAAACCTCTATAAGATTACCCCTCAGCCTCCGACACGCCAGGGAAAATAGCCCCAGCCTACTCAGCCTCTCCCTGTAGCTCAAACCCTCCAACCCCAGCTAACATCTTTGGTAAATTTTTCAAGTTTAACAACATTTTTCCTACAGCAGGGAGACCAGAATTGAGTGCAGTATTTCAAAAGTGGCCCTAACCAATGTCTTGTACAGCGGCAGTATGACCTCCCAACTTCTATACTCAATGCACTGACCAATAAAGGCAAGCATACCAGACACCACCATCACTACCCTATCTACTTATGACTCCACCTTTAAGGAACTATGAGCCTGCACTCCAAGGTCTCTTTGTTCAGCAACATTTCCCAGGACCTTACCATTAAGTGTACAAGTCCTGCCCTGATTTGCATATCCAAAATGCAACACCTTATGTTTATCTAAATTAAGTGCTTTCTGCCCATCTGATCAAGGTCCCGTTTTACTCTGAGATAACCTTTTTCACTATCCACTACACCACCAATTTTGGTATCATCTGCAAACTTACTCACCATTCCTCCTATATTTATCCACTTTTATGTTTTTTTAAAACCTCCAGCACCTCCTCTTCTGTGATGTGGACTGTTTTCAAGGCATCAAGATTTAATTAATCAAGTTTCCCAGCCTCCATTTCTTTCTCCACAGTATAAACTGATGCAAAATATTAGTTTAGGATCTCTTCATCTCCTGTGGTTCCACACATAGATGACCTCATTGATATATATTCCCTCCCTAGTTGATCTTTTGCTGTATTTGTGCTTCTAGAATCGCTGAATTATCCTTAACCTTATCTACCAAGGCTATCTCATCTCCCCTTTATACCCTCTTGATTTCCCTTTTAAAAATGTCCCTACACCCCATATATTTTTTAAGAGATTCTCTTGATCCCAGTTGTCTGCCTGACACATGCCTCCTTCTTATTCTTGACCAGCGTCTCAATTTCTCTACTCATTAGTCATTGTTCCTTACTCTTACCTGCCTTACCCTTCAGTCTAACAGGAAGATCATCCTTCTGAATTCTCGTTATCTTACTTTTGAAAGCCTCCCACTTGCCCTTGTCCCCTTACCCTCGGAGTAGTCCAATCAACTCATGAAAGTTCCTGTCTCTGTCAAAATTTGCCTCACTCCAATTAATAACTTTAACAAGGCCTATCCTTTTCCACAACTATTTTAAAATTAATAGAATTATGATCACTGGTCCCAGAGTGCTCCCCGCTAACATTTCAGTCACTTGCCCCGCCTTATTTCTTAAGAGAAGGTCAAGTTTTGCTCCTCTAATAGGCACATCTACGTATTGATAAAATTTTCTTGAACATATTTAACGAACTCCTCACCATTCAAAGTCTGTAACACTATGGCAGTCCCTGTCTGTATTTGGAAAGTTAAAACCCTCTGACATTACAACCCTATTATTCTTACATAAAGCTGGCATCTCTCTATATATTTGCTCTTCAATGGAGGGGATAGTACAATCCCATCAAGGTAGTCATCCCTTTCTTGTTTGAGTTCCACCCATATAGCTTCACAGGACAAACCCTTAGAAATATCTTAAGTCCAGCAGTAATGTTTTCCTCAATCATAAATGCCACTCCCCCTTCCTCACTGCCTCCCTTTATATCCTTCCTTTAGCATCTAAATCCCAGAATGTTCAGCTGCCAGTCCTATCCCTCTTCAGTTATGTTTCTGTGATTGCTATGATATCCCAGTCCCATGTTCCCATACATGACCTGAGTTCATCTGCCTTACCTAAAAGACCCCTTGCATTGAAATAAATGCAGTTTAATTCGTCAGTTACCTTGTCTGACTTTCTCTTGCCTTCCTTTTCTCATTAACTTGTTTTTAATTCAGAACCATCCTCATAGTTTTTCTATTCTCACTACTTCTTAGGATCACCCCCACCTCCCCACGAGGTTAAAGGCTCCTGAATAGAACTAACAAATCTCCCTGCCAGGATATTGATTTCCCCCTCCAGTTCAGGTTAAACCCGTTCCTTTTGAGCAAATCTTTACTGCCCCAGAAGAGATCTCAACGATCCAAAAATCTGGATCTCCATTACAAACCCACCGACTCCCACAGCTACCTGGACTATACATCCTCACACCCCACTTGCTGTAAAGACTCCATCCCATTTTCTCAGTTCCTCCGTCTCCGTCGCATATGTTCAGATGAGGCCAACTTCGACTAGGGAGCTTCCAAAATGTCCACATTCTTCCTCAACCGAGGATTCCCCAGCTCCATTGTCGACAGGGCCCTCAATCGGGTCCGACGCATCTCCCGCATTTCTGCTGTCACCCCTTCTCTTCCCTCCCGCAACAGCGATAGGGTTCCCCTTATCCTCACCTACCGGTCATCCACGTCCAGAAGATCATCAGACGCCATTTCCGCCACCTCCAGCAAGATGCCACCACCAGACACACATTCCCCTCCCCTCCCCTCCCTTGTCTGCCTTCCGCAGGGACCGTTCACTCCGGGACACCCTGGTCCACACTTCCTTCACCCCCAACACCTTCCCACAGCCCTACGGCACCGTCCCCTGGAACCGCGAAGGTGCAACACCTGCCCATTTACCTCCTCCCTCCCCACTATCCAAGGGCCCAAACATACCTTCCAGGTGAAGCAACACTTCACCTGCACTTCCAAGAATCTAGTCTACTGCATTCGCTGCTCACAATGTGGTCTCCTCTAAATTGGGGAAACGAAGCGTAGACTTGGCGACCGCTTCGCAGAACATCTACGTTCTGCTCGCAAAAAAATCCCTGAACTACCTGTTGCCTGCCACTTCAATGCACCACCCTGTTCTCTGGCCAACATCTCTGTCTCCGGCTTGCTACAGTGTTCCAGTGAAGCCCAGCGCAAGCTGGAGGAACAAAACACTTCATTTCCGCTTGGGGACCCTACAGCCCTCTGGACTCCATACTGAGTTCAATAATTTTTAGGGCCTAACCTCTCCCATGTCCCAGCCCCCCACCCCACACACCAGGCCTTGTTACCACATAGCCTGCCACTACACACCCCCTGTTGTTAGTCACTAACCATCCCCATTAACAACTATTCACCCTCCCAGCCTGATCGTTAGCAACTCCTTTGTTTGTCCAACTGTCTTTCTCTCTCTCTGGGCTCTATCTTTTCGTTTACTCCCTACCCACCCACCTCCCTATTTTCTGCATATAAACTGACATTTTTCCAGCCACCATCAGTTCTGAGGAAGGGTCACCGGACCCGAAACGTTAACTCTGTTTTCTCATCCACATATGCTGCCAGACCTGCTGAGCTTTTCCAGCAACTTTGTTTTTGATCCAAAAATCTGAATCCTTGGAAGTTGCTTCCTCTTTTGTTGCTTTCAGCTGACATCCTAATTTAATGAATGTGCACAACAGCTGGAGTCACAAATCACAGAAATAAATCCTTAATGACAGAGCCCTAACCTTTACACAAAAATTTTGTTAAAGTTACGTGATCTAATGTCAACTTGCTAGACATCAATTTATTAAAACTCCAAATGCCTCCAAGGATTCAGCTTCCACTTGCTTTTGAGGAAGAATTCCAAATGTACTCAACCTTCTGAGTTCTAGGGATTTATGGGAAATCATAGAATCCCTGCAGTGCAGATAGAAACCATTCAGCCCATTGAGTCTGTGCCAGTCCTCCGAAGATCATCCCACCTACTCCCCCAACATATTCCCATAA